GACACTCATAACTAAATTGAGAAGGGTTTGAGATGGTTCAAGACACCCATAATTAAATTAAGAAGGGTTTGAGACAGGTTCAAGACACTCATAACTAAATTGAGAAGGGTTTGAGATGGTTCAAGACACACATGACTAAATTAATAAGGGTTTGAGATGGTTCAAGACACACATGACTAAATTAATAAGGGTTTGAGATGGTTCAAGACACACATGACTAAATTAATAAGGGTTTGAGACAGGTTCAAGACACCCATGAGTAAATTAAAAAGGGTTTGAGACCGGTTTAAGACACCCATGACTAAATTGAAAAGGGTTTGAGACCAGTTTAAGACAGCCAGGACTAAATTAAGAAGGATTTGAAACAGGTTCAAAACACCCATGACTAAATTAAAAAGGGTTTGAGACCAGTTTAAGACAGCCAGGACTAAATTAAGAAGGGTTTGAAACAGGTTCAAAACACCCGTGACTAAATTAAAAAGGGTTTGAAACCGGTTTAAGACACCCATGACTAAATTGAAAAGAGTTTGAGACCAGTTTAAGACAGCCTGGACTGAATTAAGAAGGGTTTGAAACAGGTTCAAGACACCCATGACTAAACTGAGAAGGGTTTGAAACAGGCTTAGGACACCCTTGTCTAAATTAAGAAGGGTTTGGAACAGGTTCAAGACACCCACAACTAAATTGAGACACCTGCAACTTTATAAAGAAATTTTCAAGAGGGTTTCAGTATGCCCTCAAGTAAATGTAGAACCGTTAAAATGGTTTTGAGACACCTGCAACTAAATTGAGAGGAGTCAGAGATGCCCTCAACTGGCTGTTGATAATGATCATTATAAAGAAAATAAAATGATGAAAACAGCTCTTTTAGTTTCTGTTACACAAAGTGAAAGTGGGTGTGCCGTGAGTAAAATGATACGTCATTGTTTCAGGATTTATAGGGTCCTATTTTAAGTTAGATTTATCCTGGTTTGGGTTCAACMAGACCAGAAGAGGTTTCGCTCAGACAAAACAACAATCAGGTCGCCATGGCATCAATCAGACAGCCCTCACTGACACATAAATGAACCGCAGAAACCTTCCTGACATGTGAAGTTTCGGCTGTTAGTTGGGGCCAGGTTTACCTGTGGTCTGTCGCAGCTCCTCACACAAACTGATGTGAGGAAACCGAAGCATCTGCTTCCACTTCTTACTCTTTCCTTTTCTGTTMCCACCGCCGCCTGCAGAGAAATAATAAAAAAACAACAACAGAAAATAAGATTCAAACCTGCTGAAACTCCACGAGACTTTGAAAAAGCAACAACAGCTTAAATGTAGATTTTAGTTATTAAGAAGCGCTCAGATTTGACGTTCGGGGTTCCAACGTGAAACTAAACGAGACAAAAGCTGAAGGTGAAGCTGCTGCTGACCCAGAAACAAAACCACAGAACCTTCAGAGAGCTCAGAGGCTTCAGTTTTACTTTAGGACAGAAAAGAATGAGTTAACGAGCTAACTTTGTGTTTTAATTCACAAAACTAATTAAACAAACACTCTGTGAAGGAATGCATGTCGCCTGCCGTAAGGCGGGGATGACGCTCAGCTACTACCAATATCTGTTAAAACAGCTGGATGTCCAGCAATTAT